AACTAAACTGTTCATCATTTATTCTTTATGGTACGCCAGCATTCAGAACATGGAGGCCAATCACTATCCCCCAGACATCCACTGGAGGCTTTTATTTTAGAATTAAAATTGGGAAAGAGAGGAAGAAATCAGGGAGCTTTGAAGGAGAACTGAGGTCTCAGCCAGAGGTTTGGGTTGTTCTGAAGGAGAGGTTCTGGTTGTTTCTCCTCCTTTCATCTTTAAAAGCTGCCTCAGTTTTTACTCCTTTTTTGCTCCTCCTGTGTGGCATCTGTAGAGGTGCCGGTTCCCTGTGGCTGCTCAGCGCTCCGTACCTGCAGCTTTCCCTCCCTTTGACTGCTGTGGATCAGCGGTCTCCATCTAACCTGCTTTATTTCTACAAAGCATTTCTTATTTAGCTGAAGTAGCTCTATCACTGACTTATAACTCTAGATGTACATTTATATATTGACGCTCAGGGACTGATGCACCAGGAGGCCTTAAAGATCCTCCATAAAGGGCTGTGTGGGTGTGCTGGTGTGGAGGTGCTGCCTGTTCTCTGGTTGCCAGGCATCCCAGAAGAAGCTGCCAGCAATGCAAAGCAACATCATGACGGTCTATATTGATATGTTAATGAATGTTTCTAACTAAAGGCTGTTGTTCTGCACTCAGGCTGTTAGCTGCCAGCTGCACATCAAACAGCAGCTCCTCTCTCAGTTGAAGGTTCTTGGTTTATGATACATACTGAACCTGGTAAACCAGAAACAAGCTGACCTCATTAATTAAAGGGGCGGAGTCAGAAGCTCAGTATGATTTAATATGAAGGCTTTGAGGCAGTGCTCAGTGGCGCAGTGGGTAGCACTGCTGCCTTGCAGCAAGAAGGTTCTGGGTTCAATTCCCCGGGGTCCTCCCTGAGCATGTGTGGGTTCTCCTGTTTGTCTCTGTGTTGCCCTGCGATGGACTGGAGACCTGTCCAGGGTGGACCCCGCCCCTCTGTCCAGGGTGGACCCCGCCTCTCGCCCCTAAACAGCTGGAGATAGACACTAGCTCCCCTCGCCACTCCACTTGGGATTAAGCGTGTAAGAAAATGGATGAAGGTTTTCAGATTAAACGATGGGGCCCTGCTGTATCTATGAATCTTATTTCTGTTATAATTTGTTGTTGCTCCACTTGTGGATAAACTTAAGCATCTTCTCTGCTTACATAACCAGACCAGGTAACCAGACAACGCTGAGCACCACGCCATAAAATAAAGGAATCAATCAGAAATGAACTTTTACCTTAAGAGAGATGAGTGAGAACTTCCAGCACAGATCAGTGCAAAGGCAGCATCAGGATGAGTGCTTCTCTTTGGAGTCACAGTCAGCCATCAGTCAGCCATCCGTCCACACAGGAAGCTCCAATCAGACACATTTTCCCCGCCATAAGGGCCCCGCCTCTCTGAACTACAGACCCTCCCCCTGTCAGTCCATGTCCTGTGTTTCCCTCCAGAACTGTCTGATCCGGGTGACGCCTCGCGGTCGGGAAGCTCTGGTGACGGATTTTGGGCTGGCGAGGGAGGTGGTGGAGCCGCCTGTGAAGGACCCTGGCAGGAAGCTGTCGTTGGTGGGCTCAGCCTTCTGGATGGCTCCTGAGATGCTCAGAGGAGAGCCCTACGACCGCAAGGCGAGTCCAGGCTGGGCTTCGGTCGCTGGCCAGAAACCATCATTACCTGTTTGTTACTCTTGAAAGACGTGATTCTCTGACTTGTTTCAGGTGGACGTTTTCTCCTTCGGGATTCTTCTCTGTGAAATCTTTGCCAGGATCCCAGCAGACCCAGAGGTCCTCCCCAGAACCCAGGTAGAGATCAGGAACAGGACCCACCATGCTAGCTAACAGCATTCAGGGTGTAAACAATGAAGCAGAGGTACAGCTCAGTGCTGATGATGGTGTGTTTCAGGACTACGGGCTGGATGTGGAGGCCTTCAGCAGGATGGTTCCTGACTGCCCTCAGCGCCTCCTGCAGGTGGCAGCCAGCTGCTGCATGGTACGTAGTGTTGCTATTGGACCGCTGGGTTCCTCCTGTGAGGGATTGAATCTAGAAATGTATTTCTACTTTGAAGTCACCTGTTCAGCTGATCTGCCACCTACTAAAGATCTGACCTGAACCTGGATGACTCCCTGAAAAGCACCGAGCTCAGATCAGATCTACAATGACTGATCTTATTTCTACAGGTCCTATCATGTCATCTCAGATTAGCTTATAGATCCAGATCAACCAGATCACCAAGGTTAAAGGGGTTTCTTAAGTTTTCTATCTAAGGAAAACCAGCTAATTGCATCGACTCATTGACTCTTCAGCAATCCCTCACACTAAGCA